AAGCACTTTGTGACTTAGGAGCTCAGGCCCTTCCCCAGAGAGCAGGCTCTTTTGTTTTTAATCCCCCCTCCAATTCCACTTTCTCTTAAAGAATCACCCCCGTCCTCTCCCCAACAAAGAAATGCACTGAAGTAAAACTGAGCGAGAGAAGGACAGTGGCTGGCCGGCAGTGTCTGCACTGTCCCTCCCATTCAGTGTCTTTTTCCCAAGGAGAGAGAAGTAGACAATTGTATCCTCTGTTCCCCTGGACCTAGACTGGCCCCCAGAGTCACGGAATCTGGGATGGAGTCCACTCGACAGCATCCCTAATAACAGTCATCAGATCCATGATTGAAGACCCCCAGAGGAGCTGACAGGCCTCGAGAGGGGCCGGCCTGCTTTTGGAGAGCTCTCATTGTCAGCCAGTGTAGGACGTCATATCTCAGTTAGGCTCGTGGAGCTTTTAGACCGCTGCTACCCTGGGATCTTTGTTGTCAGCCCAAGTGCTCGAGCGTTGTACCTGTCCTCGATGTCACAAATGACAACATTTTGTATTTGTAGTACTGTTGCCAAGACTCCTGTTAGAACCAGTGCCTTTGGACTTCTACCCTGAGTCCAGTTCTGCCTCCTGGGGCCATCAGGACGAATCTCAAGCTTCTTCCCCATTAGGGCTGTTCCCTCCTTGAAGACACCACTGGTTGTGCCTTCCTTCCCAGCTCCCATAGCCTTCGCTCGTTTGCCATCCTGTGACATCCCACCAGGCTCTCTCCCATGGGGCAGCAGTCCTTCTTATCACTGCTACCCAGACCACCTTTCTCCAGCTGTGCTCTGAGCAGGGTAGGGGACAGCAGGACTTCACTTCCCGATTCCTGGAATTGTGCCTCTCTCAATGTCACTTAAAATGACGTTAGCCCTCTTGGCAGACGTATCCCACTGTTGTTTCTAATTAAGCTTGGAGTCCACTAAAACCATTGGGCCTTTTCAATCAGATGTCTATCTAATCACACCTGGATTTGAAGTTGATTTTTTTTCAACCCATGTGTAAGACTTTACATTTATTCTTTTTAAACTTCAATTAATTAGGTTTGGCCCTGTTCTAATTTGTCAAGATCCTTGAGACTCTCGACTCTTTCCACATGTTAACTCTCCCTCTTGGTTCTGTGTCTTCTGTAGATCCGATAAGCATTCCACCTGTATCTTATCCACGTCATTGCTAAAAACATCAAACAAAATCATGCCAGGCGCAGTTGCTGGGACACTCCACTGGAGACCTCTTTTGAAGTTGACATTGAACCTGTGTTGAGTATTTCCTGGCTTTACTCAGTCAACAGGTGGCAGTCCAGCTAATTGTGTTGTCTTCTGGCTCCCATCTCCATCTTTTCCGCAATAGAAACCCGATGGACGTTGTCAGATGTTTTGCCGAAGTCTAGTGTCTCCCTTCCATGGTAATCCTGTCACACAAGGGAATCAGGTTAGGTTTGCGTGTCTTTTCCTTGATGAAGCCGCCATATTGGCTCTTTGTCATCACTGTTTCCTTTTCTCAGTGTTCACTAACCGTTTATTTAATAATGTGTTTAGAATTTTGGCAGTGGCCTCAAGGTTACAAGTTGTGCTTCTCCTCTTTGAAAATTGGGCAGATATTTATCTTTCGTCAATCTCATGCTGCCTCTTCTGTTCTCCAGATCTTTCACAAATCAGTCACATGGTTCAGCCACCAGTTTTCACCGTCATGGGAAAGTCGGGCTTGGTGACAGGAGAGGAGTGAATGGTTGGGTGATTCCTCAAAGAGGGGAGGGCGTTTCCTGGAGGAACTCGCCAATCAGAGGAGAGCCCAGGGACAAAGGGATCTTCCAGGGTGAGAAGGTTGCTGGGGAATGGGCAAGTTCTGTATCTTAGATAAATCACTTCTCTCTGGTCCTTGATTTTCTCATCTGTGAAATGGCGATAATGTGAGGGTTGCTTTAAACATCCAGTGAGATAATGAATGGAAAGGTACTTGGTAAACTCAGAATCATTATCCTCATTTTCAACACCATAGATAATAACGTTTTGTTTGTTGTGCAGTGGTTGAACCAGTATTTGTCTCCATTTCTTCATGAACCCTAGACCAGTGGGCCAAGGCGGAGACCCTGAGCCCGTTCCCATCCCTCTTGGAATCCCTGGCCTCCTTTCTGAGCTCAGCTGCAGCGCTGCCTGCTGTGTAAAGCCCTCCCCATCCCTTCTTCCCTCTCTGCCCGCCTCGGGTGCCTGCTCCCCCCAGGTGTCCTGTCTTTCCTCTGTCTGGCACACTTAGGGGTGGACACGCTGTTTCCCCTTAGAGAATCAGATTTCCACGAGGGCAGGGTTTGCGTCACTCTTCCTTCACGTCCCCAATTGTTGGCACAAACTAGGAGGAATTGATGAGTGCCTTTTGATTCGTTGGTTGGTGTTCTTTGATCAGCACAATAACCCTGTGAGTTAGGTGCTATTATTATATCCTTTTTTGACAGCTGAGAAAACTGAGGCTCAGACACATGAAGCGATTTTTCCCAAGATTATGCAGCTAGTAACTGCCTGAAGTGAGATTTGAACCCAAATCTTCCTGACTCCCAATGCCAGCCCCTTTCTCCACCAAGGGGCAGAGTCCAGCTCTAGGTGATATTGTCACAGGGATGCCTGGTGCAGTGTAGATGGTGGCATCTGAGATAAGATCCTTTGGCCCAGTCTGGCAGGTGGGGCATCCCTTCGTCTGGCCTAGGGGCATGAAGCACGTTGAGAATCCCTTCTTGGGCTTGGATTCCTGCTGCTTTTCTGGGCATCCCTTTCCGAAGCCCGATCCTGGGCCTCTCTCGGCTCCCTTTCTCTCAGTCTGTTCTGTAGCCTGGGATTGGCCTTGCTTCTGAGCTGGAGGGAGGCCTCGTTTTCCGCTCGTCTTCCACTCAGCATCCTGCATCCCAGCCACCAGCTTTGGCTCGTGACCCTGACATGCCTAGCAGCATCCCACCTGTGACCTGAGGTCCGTCCTCATCTCTAGGGCCTTCAGGCTGTCCCAGGGAACCTCTTCATCCTTCTCTGAATGTGGGACCCATCCCTCCCCAACCCCGGTCAGTGTGAGGGCAGGGCTCCTTATTGCATAGTCCTCTTCCAACTCTGTCCTTGGAAAGTGGAGGAGAACAAGAGGAGAGGAGGAGCTGGAGAAAGTATGGGAAGAGGGCATGATTCAACCCTTTCTTGTCCACTCACTAGAGAGGCCATTCTGGGTCCTCACAGGAACCAGGGAAATTATGAAAAGGAGAAAAATAGACCCTACTGGGGCTCTTTTCTTTTTAAAAAATAAGTGTATGTGTGTGTATTTAATTTTGAACTTAAACAACAAATAAAATTAAAGCTAACATTTTACATGAAACTGCAAACATCTTGCTTTCACTTTTAAATTTATAATAAATTCAGCATGTAACTTTCAAAACTATCCTTCATATCTGTAGTTCCTTCTGGAGCTCTCCGTCTGTTTTCTTCCTTCCTTCTTCCTTCCTGCCTCAGATACTTACTAGTCATGTGACCCTGGACAAGTCATTTCCCTTCTCTTTGTCTCAGTTTCTTCATCTGTGAGATAATAATAGTAGCATTTACCTCCTAGGTGTTGTGAGGATCAAACGAGATAATAATTGTAAAGCACCTAGCACGGTTCCTGGCACATAGTAAGTGCTTACTAGATATCATTATTATTGTTATTGCTATGTAAATGCTTATTCCCTTCTCTCTCTCCCTCTCCATCCCCTCTCCCCTCTTACTCCCTCCCAACATGTCTCTCCATCCCTTTTGGAAAAAAGATAAACACAACCACAAAACAAAACAAAACAGAACCGCTGCCTTGACCATAGCATTCTGGACATTGAGCGCATCTCCTCTTTCTCAGTGGCACGGCTCTTTTCTGGGGTACTGGAATCATGATTGGTTATTGGAATGAACAGTGTTCTTAAAGTTTCCAAAGCCGTGTTTCTTTACAGTGTGCTAGGGTCTTATGCTGGAACCTTTCCTTCTGTAATTTCTTAAGATCAACAATAGTACATCACATGCATAAAATGTTCTCTGTTCATTTGCTTCGTGGTTGATGGACACCCCTGTAGTTAGCAATTCTTTTCTAAAACAAAAAAATCTGCTATAAATATTCGTGTACATCTAGGTCCTTCTCCTCATCCTTTGGTCTTTTAGGGGGGAGATTTGGATAATTTGTGGTTTTGCTGGGTCCAGAGTTTACCTAGTTTAATGACTTTGGCGGCATAATTCTAAAGTGATTTCTATGTGATAACTGTCATTAATATAAGCATTTGTGGCCTGTTTTTATACAGCCTCTCCAACATTTGTCATTTTCCTTTCCAGTTGGCTAATCTGATGGATGTGAGGTAGAACCTCAGGGTGTTTTAGGTTACATTCCTCTAATTATTAGTTATTTTAAGCATTTTCTTCACATGACTTTTGGTTGCTTGTATTTCTTCCATTGAGAACTCCCTGTTTGTATCTTTGGCCATAATTGCTCTTGTTCTTTTAAATTTGAATCGGTTCCTTTTATCTTGGCTCTCAGCCCTTGTCTTAGAAACTTGCTGCAAATAGATTTTCCTAGCTAACCATTCCCCTTACAGTTTTACCTGCATTGGCTTTGTTTATGCAGCACCTTTTACAGTTTTGTAATCGAAGTTTGCCCTTTCATCTCCCATTCTCTCTGTCTCTTGTCTCATAGTGAACTGTTCATTCCTTTACCCATTGTTGTAAAGGGTAATTCCTTCCTTGCTCCTTAAACGTGTCTTTAATGTGGCCTTTTTCTAGCTGAGAAGTCATTTGGAGTTTATGTTGGCGTGTGGTGTGAGAGACTGGTCTAAATCTAACTTCTGCCAGCTCGCTTTGTGTTTTCCAAGTGTTTTTGTCAAATAGCTGGCGATAGTTGCCCCAGCGTTGACGTCTTTTGGTGAATTGAACAGTACAATGCTGTTTGTTTGCTACTATGTTACTTGTGACTGATCTACTCTCTTCTCTTTTCTTAATAGGTTGCTGAGAATGATGGGAAGCGCGTGTAGAATGAAATACAAATTTTTGGAAAGCCCCTTGGGAAGAATAGAAATTTCAGGATGTGAAGCTGGGGTGCATAGAATAAAGCTTCTGGAAAAAATGGTTCAAAGACCTGAGTAAGTAGATGTGCCCTAACTCCATAGCCAGAATATGAGCATCATAGACTGATGGTGCCAAGGAAATGGGCTAATTTGTGGTTCATGTGCCAGCTTTCCACAGGATCTCTGCAGCTAAGGAGGGATATGGGCCTAACCAGTTACAATGAAGTGGAACTAAATGTGAAGTCCCACGTTTGGTGTGGAAAGGTCAGCTTCACACGTGTAAGATGGGAAGACATGGCTAGTTAGCGGTTCAGCCGACATCCAGCTCAGGGTTTTTAGTGTCCTGTGAGCTCAGGTTGGACCAGCAGGGGCGCGGGCGGCCAGCAGAGCTACATTAAAGAGGCCTGGTGTCTAGGCTGGCATTGGTCAGCTGGAATCCTGCCCCCCTCCCCTTGGCAATCCAGGGTTCTGTTCTGGGTGCCCCATTTTAGGATGAGCTAGCTGGAGAGTGCCCAGAACAGAGCCTGGTACCATGGAGGAGTGACGGGGCCTCAGAACCATGCTGTGTGGAACCAAGGAGGTCACAGGAGCGCCTGTGGTAGCTGTCTTTCTAGAGTGTTGGGTGGCTTCTGGGTGGCAGCGGCTTCACCGTGTTCTGCTTGGCCCGACAAGGCAGAACGAGGAGTGATAGGTGGGCTTTGTGGGGCGTCCCATATGGACTCCACGTCAGGCAGAATGGCCCAGCATTGAGAATTGTCAGACGTGGAATGGATGTCTTGGGGAGGTGAGGCCCCGTCCCAGGAGGATCTGATGTGGGGTCTGGGTCAGGAGAGGAGGAGCTGGTTCTTTCTTCAGGTAGGGCTGGAGGCTTTTTGAGGTGCTTTTCCATGTTGTGGTTGTAGGATTTAGAGCCCCAAAGGACTTCCTAGTTAGTGTACTCCCAACTCCTTCCTTCTGTAGCTGACCACAGTTGAGGGGCAGATGGGGGCAGGGCTGCGTCCTGGGTCGTTCAGGGAGGGAGCATCAGAGTTGCAGGCCATACAGACCTGCATTCTGAAACAAGGTAAGCTCCCTCCCAGAAGGACACCCTGCACCGTTCTCTCCTTTTATTTTTCTTCTCTTTCCCATGAAAGCTTCTGCCTTCCGTTAAACTCTGGGAAATAATCTATATTAAGCAGTCCCATGTCTTTTGGTGAAAGTCTGAATTTACAAAGAGTTTATTGATTGTCAGCGTGTGGCTCTATCAGGAATCATGCGGTGGGTGTCTCCTCAGAAGATGGGTGTCTGGGACTGCTCTTGCTTCTGGAAAGGAGGGAATCCATACTGCCAGGGCTTTATTGAAGTTTTCTCGGTGAATGTTGAACTCGACCAGCAGATCTCGGAGCTGAGAGGCTCCCCCTTCCCCAAGGTGTTATTAGGGTTCTTTGTGTTTCTTCTGGTCCCTGTTTCGCAGTGGGGCTCTGGCAGGAGGAAAAGGATGAAATTTCATCTTCTGCATCACTTTAAAGAGACTTCCACCCTCTAAGAGAAAGCACTTTTTTTGAGCGATTTCCTCTATATTTTTCTAATCGTAAAGACCTAAAAATTTTAAGGCTGTCCGTAAATGTTTGTGCTGAAATGTAACATTTAATCTCCCCCATTCGTTGATGGGGAATAGTTGTTAAAATCTTAGTTCTCATTATTTCTGACAGGAGGGGAAAAAAACCCAGCACAAACAAACCCACATCCTTTCTTGCTCAGTGTTTACCTTAACTGGCTAATAAACGCAATGCCAAGGACATTAGATGAAGAAAATACAGAAGAAACATAAAAATTGATTTTAATGGACCCCTGTCAGAGAGAACCGTAATGAACACAAGTGCAGTAATAAATATTGGTCTTCCACTCCAGTGTCGAGATTTTTCCTGTAGAGTTGCATGTTACAATCAATAGCCTATTTTTTTTACAGCAAAAATAAGCAAACCTTTGAAATATATGAATACACAGTTCTGAATTTCTATGAAAGCAATCTGGCTGCTGTGCTTAAAAAACACCTCACGGAGCAAATCATCTGTCTGGGAAGCCCTTAACTTTGTCTCCTGGCGGGCAGTGGCGCTGCACAGTTAATCAGAGAGGGGGGAGCCTTCAACCATTGGGGGGGTGACTTCAGGGAGGATTGAAAGGAAGACATGAATGCCCAGCAAACACCACCTACGGGGAGCTCACCAACATCCAGGCTGCAGCCATCTGCTTGATACCAAGGCAGGAAATGAAGTGTATTTTTAAGGCTATATTTTAATGGGACTTTTTAGTTTTCTAAAGAGCCTGACTTAAAAGAGGATGTTTGATTCTTTTAACCTTCCAAGCATGTATTAAGCACCTTTTGTTCAATGGTTGCTTAGTAGTAGAGACACAAAGACAATTCAGTTAACATTTGTTAAGCATCTACTGTATGCCAGGCACTGTGCTAAACACTAGAAATACAAAAAAGTTCCTGCCTTCAAGGAGCTTCCATTTTAGGGAAAGGGCTTGCTGCTGATTGGAACACAGGGTATTTCGCAATATGTGCAAAATATATAGAATATCATTTTTTCAGGAGAAGTGGTAATAGTTGATGGATTTGGGAAAGGAGTCTTGTCCGAGGTGAATGTGGGAGCCTTGAAGGGGGAGGGGGATTAAAAGGGAAAGAGACTGTTGGCCCTGTCTGTGTTTCTGATGGCTGATGCTTTGGTTAGTGTTGGAAACTGGGCTGGGTTCTGGTCAAGGTGTGTTTTTGTTTTTAACAAATGAGTGGATCTGCTTGCTGGACAACAGATGTTGCCTTATGCTTTGTGCTCTGGAGAGGAATCACAAGAAGAATGAATGAAGGAAACATTCTGTAGCCAGAGGGCTTGGTTATTCCACATTGAGATTTATGCACCTGAACAAAGAACCAGAAAGAGTTTGAAAAGCAACCTCTTTCTGTTGTTTGTAAAGATGTTTGTAGACACTTTGGGAAGAACATTTCTTCTTTCAGGTTTGTTAGTGCTAGGAGATGTGGGACTGAAAGGATGGGCCTGTTGAAAACTTTGCTCTATGACTGGCTCGCTCCTGCCCCTGCAGCCTTGGGTACCCTCTACTCTTTCTGTGGGAGATGCGTTAGAACGTGAGCTCCCTGAGGGGGAGGGTGGTGTTTTTGTCCTACTTTGGGATCCTCGGTAAATGCTTGCCGGCTGCTTATGAGCTGGAGCGGTGATGAAATGACGTGTGAAATTTCTAAAACATGCAGGAGTTTGGCTGAGGAGAGGCCTCCACCAGCTCCTCCCCCCTGGACATGAGGAGAATTGCAATCTTTACTTTTTGTGCCTTTTACAAATAGTTTGCAAATACTTTTTACAAAAAGTCCACAACTTTCTAAATTTAAAACCTAGTAATGTCCCAAACGGGATTAGCCTCACAGTGATTGTTTTGGCATTCGTGATCTGTCAGATCCGACAGTGAATGGAAAGTGATCAATTTGTTTTAATTTTACGTGTTTCTGCTTCTTCTTATGAATGGAGCTATAAGCTACCAAAGATTGTGTTATTTCGCTTCTGTGGTTTTGGGTCCTCTTTTAATCGTAACTCATGATCATGTAGCATGTGAAGGGTGTCCAGGTGCTTTCAGACCCCTCCTCCATGCCTGCCTAGGCTGGTCCAGGTGTCTTCAGACCCATTAGGCCCAGCTTTTTGTGTAAGTAACCTCCTTCTGTGATCTTCTTCATGGATTTCTACCAACTGAAGACTTGCTTGGGTTGGATCAAGCTTCTTTCCCAGAGCATGGGACCCTCATTCGCCCCTTAGTCTGAGGCAAGTATTGGCAAACATGCTCTGATTTCTCTGTTGTGTTGTGGAAATGGTGGACTCTGAGGGCACTCAGAAGTAAGAGTCTGTTAGAGGATGGCTGATGCCGGGCATGGCTGCCATATTGTCTGAAGGATGCGCTGGGCAGAATTTCCCACAGACCCAATGTCAGAGTCATTGGAGCTGGCCCATGAGGGATGGAGGTTAAGGGTGGGGGGGTGGGGGTGAAGCAGTGGCCCGAGCTGCTCATGCTTCACACAGGGAGTGGTAGAACTGCACCTGGAGCCCAGTTTCTTTTAGTAGAAGATAGTTTTTGGTTTTGTCCTGCTTTGATTTTTCCTTGTATCTCACCACTCCACATCATAGCGCCATCACATGTAACAGGAAGAAGAGAAAAAAACAGCAAAACCAATTAGTGCATGGGAAAAAACAAACCTGAAGAGCGATGCTGTGCTCCCTCCCTGTGGCCTTCCAACCTGGGCTCTCCCATCTCTTCCATGGCGCCATGTTGGCTCTTTGTCATTTCTTCATTCCCCTTTGGTGCCTTTGTGATTGGCTCCTTCCATGTATGTGGTGGTGTAGTTGTCACGTATGTTGTTTCTTGGCTCTGTTCACTTCATTTGGCCTCAGTTCATGTAAGTCTTTCCATTCTTCTCTATCATATGTGTCCCTATTGGTTTAGCCATTCATTCCCCCTTCGAGAAGGGAAACCAAGGCCTAACTTAATTTAAATTCAGAGCTTATTCTCCCGATGCCATTTTAGGTCCATGAAGCCTTGGCCTGATTGGTACGATACTGCTGATTATTATTTCCTGTCGGCAGCAGCCTTTGATTCTAAAGGTTTATTTTGGGAAGATGATTGTCTTTGCTGGTTGATCAGAGGCTTGGCTTTTGGGAGGTGAATAGAGCAGGTAACTGGGTCCTACAGCAGTGCTCGGTACTTAGGGATCTCCAGGGAGTGTTTATTCTATCAGGTCTTACAATGAGCCGACTCAATTCAATTCAGTAAACATCTATTAAACACCTACTGTGTGCCAAGCACTAATGCTGGGAATACAAAAAGAGACAAAAGACAAAAGCCTTCATGGAGCTTACAGTCTAATGGGGAGCCCATGTGCAAGCAAATATTCACAAAGCAAGCTGTAGACAGGATAAATGGGAAATCATGAGCAGAAGGAGGTAGCTGGAATTAAGTGAGATTGGAGAAGGCTTCCTGTAGAAGGAGAGATTTTAGCTGGGCCTTCAAGGCCAGAATGGTCAGTAGCGGGAGTGGAA